TTTCTCATCGTTTATTGCTCGAAATCTTCGTTGGTAACGGTACTGAAATAGGCTTGCTCGCCCATTGGTGCGGCGTGCATGATCGTAGTGCGTCAATGTGTAAAGAGGGCTAAATATGTTAAAACCTAGTACATGTTGCGCAACGAGTGACCTGGTAGGTTTTTGCTTTCCCGTTCATCTCAAACTCCTTGCATTTGGAGTTGATGTTTAAAGCGAATATATTTGCATGAATAGTGAATATCCATTACAAAGAATAGTGGCGGAAATACCATGCCTTATCAGAGGATATATATAGCAGTAGACTAGTGAATAAAAACTTATATCAGAAACGGGGAACCCCCGTTTTAATTTGGTTTGGTTTTCGATCTGCAATTAAGTGTCATATTTCACATTTCGAACAGGAAGACATGATGGGATTTTTAATCAGTTTCAGCTTTCGCTCGCCGACTTTCTTTTTGTATTTTATTTTAATTCAGGAGCGGATCCAGGATTTTCCAAATGGGGGGGGGGGGGGTGGAATTAATAAACGAAATTGCGAGCGCGAAGCCTTGGGTCCGGGGCCCCCTTAAGGGCCCCTGGAAAATGTTGCTCTACATGGTAGGCCTACATTCATGAGGCATTTTAGAATGAGTAAACTAAACATTTATTTTTGTTTGGGGGAGGTAAAAGGGGTCGTGCACCCCACGCCTCCCCTGATGAATCCGCTCCTGTAATTTTGGTAATGTATTCCTCTTCCTCTTTCATCATTTATACCTAGACATCGACTGTGGCTTGTTTTTAATTACTTTTTTCAAATGTAGTTAAATTAAGATGTGGTTGATTATAGGCCTAGTATTACTCAAACGGGGAATGAACACGATATAGAGTGAAAAAAGAAAATGGCCTGGACAAAAAAGGAGCTGGGCTAAGGTAAAGGTCGAACATGGAAGACATGGGTGTGCATGGGGAGATAGAGGCGGGGGGGGGGGGGCAAAAGTAATATCGAGACTGTATTAGTGAGACCTTAATAATAGATTCCTCATTAAAGCTGCACCGTTATTTTGTTTAACCGTGTATATTATCACAATCAGCCACTGGCCTATCGGAAAACAAGGAGTGAAAAAAAAAATCAGCGACATCAGAATATTTACCCTACTTAGGCGATTATAATCAGGAAAGGAGAAACATTGAGAAAAAAAAGGGATCAAATAGGGATTTGACGTCAAACGTTTGCCGATGTCATCATAATTCTTCGTTCCAAATTAAACTTTAAAGCTGTACCGTTAACCCTTTGCCACTATGGGCCTTATGATGGCTAATCGCGAAGGGAGAGAGTAGAAAACCGATGAACAACGGACAGTAATTTAAAAAAAATAAGCTGCTGGGATCATGAAACTGTCGGTAGATAGGAAAGGAAGACAGTGAGAAAGAGAGAGAGAGAGAGAGAGAGAGAGAGAGAGAGAGAGAGAGAGAGAGAGAGAAGAGAGAGAGAGAGAAAAGAGAGAGAGACAGATTTGGCTCTTCGCCTTCGCATATTTTCCTCTGAATTTCATTCATCCAACCCTTGCCCCCTGCCCATTTAGCAGTGCCATGTCAGTGATTGTGCCCTCCTATACGCCATTGGTAATTGCGATTAGGACCAAAATGATGGGGGGGGGGATATTTGATGGTTTAAACGATTCAGTGATAATTTGTCATGCCTCATCTATAAGTTATTAACGGTGTTTTAAATACCGATACATTATCTTACGACTTACAGTGAAAGTGATTTCTTGATTAGTAAGCTTGTACCGCTTAACGGGAAACAGTACTTATTTCTAATCGTGGATTACGATTTAATATGCGTAGAATCGACTCCCTGTTATAGATCCTTCATTTTCTTAATCGCTTGAGTAGCCTTTTCCTTGGTTGTCACTTTCATGTCTCCAAATTGTTAAAACAAGTATTTGTGTTCACTCTGTTTTTTCCAACATGCTACTTAATAAGCTTGCGGCGACAATCGATCATGTTGTTGGAAGCTTGTATAAGCTTTAAAGGCGCACTGTACTGGTAGCTACTTGCTCCTTCTATATAGAAAACAATGCCTAATTGGTGACCATTGGTCCCCCATGATCCTCTTTTCCTTAGGCCATTAAAAAAAATATACATGTTTAGCGTCCCCGCCCGCTTCCTTTTGGGGGGCCGCCTCCTATTTTTTTTTTTTTTTTTTTTTTTTAAAGAAAAAAAACATGAAAAACACTGCTAAAATGGGTCTGTTTCTGATTTTAAAAAAAAAAAAAAAAAAAAAAGTCGGCGGCCATCTTGAAAATAGCCCGACTTTCAGGGAAAATGTACCGAGCGGCCATTTTGAAAGAAAAAAAAGAAAGAAAAAAAAAGGGCCTCCTCCTTCCTATTTTTCGAAAAAACAGGACGCTAAACATGTTTTTTTTTATTTGGCCTTATGTTAATTGAGAGCTAAGTTGATGAGATAGCCACTTGTCAGTGACCTTCCTGGGTGGTCTAATCCCTCCTAGCCAAACTAGTATAGATGGCCTTTAATATACAGTCATAACATAACGGCACATAAATTAATATCACTAATTTGTAATGAAGTATATTTATCATTAAGATTATAATCATCTGGACTTCACTATATTAGTCTCGTTCTCCCTTTCAATCTGTTTATCTACCTCTTTCTTTCTCCCTTCTCTCTCTCTCTCTCTCTCTCTCTCTCTCTCTCTCTCTCTCTATCTCTCAGTCTTTATTTTTAACCATTTCTTTCACACGCCTTTCTCTCTTCAGCAATGTCCTACTTGCTCTTTCTTCTCCCGTCAGTATCATGTTTATGTTAATGTATTTCATTTAATGCCGATTAAACAATTTGTTATTTTTGTAATGTTTAAAAAACTGGAATTTTTTTTTTTAAAAGACGTTACATGTGATACATAAAAGTAAAAGCCAACATAAATTGGAATACAACAATCAGTCGTGTACGGGGGTAAACTATAGTGAGTTCAGATCTAATAAACAAACACATGAATACATAAATATATGCAATAAGCAATCAATTATATTCGATATTGTCAGAGGAGGCATATGTCAAAACCATCTTAAAATAGTTAATTTATGATTCGAAGTACTACATGCCCCGTCCACCCTGGCCCCTGTGAATCCGAAAGAGAATACTTTTATTTCGATTCGGGAAATGATGACCAAGAGAGGGCAGTAATCATGATTGTAACCTAGTGTCCTTTTATATTGTTACCCACTAAAACCCAGAGTTGGGTTTATTTCATGGTCAAAGAGTGGATGCCATATACTAATATACAAAATTAAAAACATAATCAAATCTTTCGTTATGTCATCGCCCACTATCTAACTTACCTTATACACATAGACAATGAAAAATGTGGAAAATTTGTATACGTGTGCACCTCCCCCACTCCCCCATTTTAATCATTTGTTTTTTTAACTGACGATATGAGTTATATTATGTCAATAGGCCACTGTGTATCTCCCTGATATTTCACAATGAATAGAAGACTGATCTATTTAATTCAGTATGCGTGGTATTCCCTATCATGGCATCAATGAATATGGAAGCTTTGCTATTCAATAGACCCATTTACTTCTTTTTTTTCTATCCTGGTGACCTAGCGACGAGTTATTCCATTATGCTGTATTTCATGAATGAACTACAATACTTGGAATCCAGTCTGCATACTACCTTTCCAATCGATTAGAATCTGTAATGCGCAGCGAAAATTAAGTCATAATGGAATTTATATTATGCTGAAAATTATAATCCCATAATCACTATGACTCCCATTAAAGTAATCGATTTGTTAGTCAGTGTTGTTGTACACGAATTGAATAATGCACTGAGTGTTTTTTTAATGGATTTTGAATGGCTGATACTTTTAGTCGGCTCCTCAATCATGTACATTTGCTGTGTTGATATCATAGGGCATTTATTAAAATTAACCATTCAAACATCCTGTTTTATTGTTTATTTTAATAAATTATGTAAGCACACTTGATATAAAAGTAATTTTTCCCTAGATAACTCGAGAGCTTTGTAGACATTATGTATTTGTAAGTGCATTCTATCCATGGATATACAATTAATGGGCCTTGGCATAAGAGGCGAATAGACCGGTTTACTATCATATGCAAATTTATGGATGTTTCTTTCCTGGCGACCTAGCGACAATAATTTCATTAACATGTTATTCATGAATGAACTACAATACTTGGAATCCAGTCTGCATTAATTGCTTGTTGCTGAGTCGGACATAGTCCCCAGACAGCATAGTATGCGCCCGATTGCGTTTGCTCACCACTTTCTCGCACAACTCTTTTCATCATACTTGTTTAAGTTAACATTTGTATTTTTAAGTTTTTTAAGTTCTTCATTCTGTTTTCTTCTAAAATCTATATCAGAGTCTCCGCTTTTTATATTCAGTTATAGGCAACAATGCTGTGAAACACATTATCAAGAAGTCTCTCACTTGGCAGAGTAGGGGAAATAGCTTAAATTCCGATCACTGCTGGTATGTCAGATTATGTAGAGCCTCTAGTTAGTATAAAAGAATGATTGTGTCATGTAACCTATTATTACCCACTTAGAAGAGCAATTGGTTATTTTCGTACTGTCTGACAATCACATTGTTGTTTGCATACGTCTTTGTGAAGTGCCTCGTTACGATGTTATTTCATTCACCTGTTATACGAATAATGTATTTCACTAGTCACAATGCGAATTCGCAACATTAGTTGTTGCTAGGTAGGATAAACATTATGATTGCCCGACCTAACAACACGCAATGTATGCAAAGCCTTTCCAAACAATTCTTGCTCATTTCAATGGACAAGCTTGTTGAAGGTAAACCAAAATGACGATGAACTAAAGAACATTGATTGTAAAAAGGATAAGTGAAATGTTTCGTGTTCGAACTACAGTATGCAGAGTAAAAGCATTCTTTGTTTTTAATGGATATTTAAAAAGACACAATGTTTGTTCATTGATGACTCTTGTCCAGGAATCATCCGACGTAGGTAAACTGAGGTATTCAAATCAAACAAATATCTAGCAATACACTACAAGGAGGCAGGTGGGTGACTTCAAACGTGCATCCAATTGGCTTAGCCTTTGTCAAATGTGTAGGTGTATATCAACTTGATGTCGACAATATAGCAAAGCCAAAGCAAACCTGAGGTTGGCCCTTTCGACTGTCATCTCTTCTTGTCTGAAGTTTCTGGAGTCAAGAAGACCTTGAAGGTGATTTCATCATGGCTGTCTCTTCATACCTGGTGCTGTTTGTGGTTATCTGTTCCATCGGCGCCATCTCATCACTCAAAACCTCTGACACTACGGTCGACAGGAAAACGTCCAATCCGTACACGGATTCCAAACGGAAAGACAGTAAGATATAACCGGTTCCAAAACGATATAATTGATCCGAATCTTTTACTGATTGTTTTGTTGGTAAATAGTGAGAATATGAATTATCTTCAATTGCTGGATAACTTAAATAGGTTAATTTCAAACAGAACTACTGAGAGATTATTTCATGCCATAATGTACTTTGTGGTAGGAGATAATTAAGTAGACATCTCTTTTTATTGTCTAAGGTAGATGGTAGATGAATATTACTTTGGATGAGTCGCACGACTCGCATAATAAGATGACTCTCATTAGCATGAATGTATTGTTTGTCAGTTTTGTACAAAATTATGAAAGCTGCACATGACGAAATGCGTATAGATTGTATCCAAAAACGGGCTCTAACAACATATTATTTGGATGTTGTGAGCAAACAGAAAATAACTAAAAAGAAATTTTGGCGGGCCTCCTCTTTTTTTCTCTCGCTAAGTACATTTTCTATGCCTTGAGGTCACTGAATACTTTCTTTAAAGGAAGTATATAGAATAAATAAATATTATAATTTACAAGATATATAAACAAGATTTCACTGAGCGCCGTTCCATTTCTTTAACAGTTTTTTTTAATGATTTTATTGTAGATTCCTATATATTTGTAATGATAGAAACTAAAAGCTATTGCAATATGGTTGTTAAGCGACCGATCAAGGGATCAGTATTATATATGCCATTATTATATCTGATTCAATATTATTTAGTTTATCTCATTCTATTTCATTAATTGAAACCTCTTGAAATAACTTTAGTTATTCTGAGAAATGTGTTGTATTCCAGCCCTTTAATCTACAAAATTCACCATCAATGTGCATGTGAGAGGTATAAAACACAAATGATGTACGGTTTCTGAGCACGACATGCAATTGGGCATCACCATTTTATTGATAATGTGACGTACAATGCGAAGTAGTTTATCAAGTAAGTGTATTTAAAAGTATGGATGTTTACATCAAAGGGCAATAATACATCATTTATTATTTGGGGTAGGTTTTGCGATAGTCATGGCAGTTTTTTTATTTCCGGAAATTATTAAACTTCCCGACGATATATGTAAACACCTATCTTTCTTTGATCATTTTCTAAAGTTTTGTTATTAATACTATCTGTTAAAGTTTCAGATATGGATTTGGATGACGTCATTGGCATCTCACTCGGAGATCACAGAAGAGAGGTGTGGTCAGAGATACTCATGACCCCGGAACTAAAAGCAAACAAGATGTCGCTCAATAGAAAGGTATTTCGTTGTGTCCAAACAGGTCGTTATTATAATTGTATTTTCCAGGCACAATCATATAAATGGAATGAGCGGAATTCAGAACAAGTTTATCATAATGATTGATTCGGCATTCTAAAGATACAATACAATGAAGACAGAAGACAATAAAGATGATCCAGCTTCCCCTACTGCACTTCCCGAACTTGACCAGAAGGAAAAAAGGAATGTAGAATTCCTAGGCTATGGCCCTTGGCCTTGGTTTTTTCCCACCGGCTCCTGGAAGCGCACCAGGGGACTCCAAGAACATAAAAAGAAAGAAATAAAAATCATAATAAAAACAAAACAACAAATGATTGGAAAGATTCGCATTGATTCTAAAGACATGTTTAGTTGCTCAAAAATGAGGGCACTTGAAAACAAAGAAAATGTATTAGATGATAACATGATAAGGTTGCGCTTGGATGGTATATATTCGGGTGTTTTTTCTCTCTCTCTTTGTTTGTTTGTTTTGTTTTTATTCCTTTTCGTTGTTAGTTCGGTGTGGTTATATAGTAGATCATCTACCTATATAATTAATAACAATATTCCTGTATGTTTTGATCTTAGTGATTTTGTGTCTTACCTAGTTGAAATAACTTGAGCTGTAATGATCTCGGAAGTTGAATAAGGTTGAATTCTTTAAAGAAACATTAAAATTGGCTTATCTGTTTCGTCTTCTCTTTTAAATTCACCTGTTTAGCTTCTCATATATTTTTTTTGTTTTCAAATTCCCAGAACAAGCGGGCCAAGAAACACAAAATGAAACTTCATGGGAAGAAAGAAGGGCCATCGCCAATGCCATCTATGCCATTGAAGAAGCTGAAAGAAACGCCTTTCGACAAATACCTGCCTCGTAGAAACTCCAAAATTTGAAAGCGGGAGAAAATGTAATTATTGAGTTGGAAATAAATCGATATTTAAAGCTAATGTATAACTTGAAAGTGTTACTTTAAATGTAGTCATATTATCCAGGTTTTTTCATAGACCTACCTTTGGGCAATAATGGGGGGCATGCATGATAGTGAATATGGATTGTAACGGATAGACATAGGCTATAGACTATTACTGTATAGTCGTTGGAAATAGGCCTTATAGGTCCTTGGTTTGTCATTAAATGTCATCGTCATTATGATATGGCTTTCCAGTATTAGTCTTTAATTTGTTGTGTTATGCTTTAGAGTATTATTTGAGGTATGTGGTGCGAGGTGTGATATCCTATACCTTTATGTGATTATAACACAAATATTCACCTAAACGTTTGAAATGTTCTGTTGTAACTTTCATTATAGCTGCCTCGTTTTTAGGCATTGGGCTTGGTAATTTTTGAGTACCTTATATATGACTGTGTAAAATATATTTATAAAACAAAGACTAATGTGAACAGCTGGAGGTTAATAAAATGAACTGCAAACCCGGTCTTATCATACCGAGGCAAAAGTCCATCATCATTGTCTCTTCTAAGCAACTGATGATTCGGCCTTATATAAATGTATTTATAGAACACCCCAGTATTAAAATGAATTAGTGAAATTCACATAAATGGTCTATTCTTGTTTTAAATAATTGCATGTTTACTGAATAAATTCAAATACAAACTTTGTCTAATTCTCTCCTGTGTTCAGATTTTTAGTCGTATTTTTTGTGCTCATTTTCATACAGTATAGTTGTTTTGAGCTATTGATGGGATAGATCAAAGGTCGCCGAGTCAAAGTACATGCTAAAAGAAAGTGAAAGTGAGAAGAGTGAGATGGGTAACATTTTGGAGAAAGTTTGAGAGAGAAAGAGAAAGAAGCGGCGAGGGGCTAGGGGGAAGAGAGAGAGAGAGAGAGGGAGAGAGAGAGAGAGAGGGAGAGAGGGGGGGGGAGATTTAACATGATACATTGTATTTGTGAACCAACAAATGTGTATAAGTGAACCACTTTCGTACGCGTTCCTATTGGTTCACATATACAATCGCCGATTCTGTCCATACCACTGAATGTTATCCATCTTAATGCATTAGGCCATTTCAAAACATATGTACTACTTCTCTCTTATTTTCTCTTATTCTGAAGCCTTAAATGTTAAGTCAATGTGTGAAACCATTGAAACTGTTCTTTAGTCTGTTATTGTGGAAGTACCAAAATGGTAAAACCCACTTAAAGGGCCCATGACATCGAAATACAAGTGCATTCATGTCGGTGTGCAGTCCTGCATACATCTCATAGTTTGATATGTAAACGTCTGAATTTGTTTCATAGATTTTTAAATATTTTTTTAAAATATTTGTTTTTGAAACTTGCTAAGCTCCACCCCAAAAACCTTCAGATCTCATTCCCCTTGTGACATTATCTGTCAGTCATCAATGAGCTAACTTGAGAAAATGGTATGTATCTTTGCCGAAGTCGACCACCTGTTACAATACGTAATACAATAGCAACATACAAGTTGCTATGTCAGACATGGTGTAGCATCACCAGGAAGACAAAGGCAATGATGATGTATTGTACATACGTATGGAAGCATGCAATTCTGTTATGAACGTGTGCTAAGCTGGGGGAAATTACATACCATTGTCTATTCTAGAATATTAGTTTAGTCTGACATGGTCTCAAAGGGGGGGGGGTGCTCCAAAATACACACATAAAAAACTGAAGGGGGGGGGGGTAACCCCCCCTCCCCCCCCCCCCCTGCGTACGCGCCTGGATGAACGATAGACACTTGCTCACGAAAGTTATTCAATCAACATTCATGCCTATATTTTATGATACACAGGTGTGAGAATTGGTTTCAGGAGGGGAAACTCACGTATTATAGGAGTACCTGTGTCTTTTTGACAGTGATCTGCACTCATTTGTGTCTGTTTAACAGTTATGTGAATGTCGAGTCATTTATCATGTTAATTTACATGTTAATGTTAATCATGTTAATGTTCTAACCAACTACGAACTGGGCTATCGGTTTCGTTTTTGGGTTGCATACCTGAATGGTACAATGAAAGAAATTTTCTGTGAAATAACATAAAATGACTAGATTTATTTTTAGAGATAGTCTTGATTTTATTGAATAGAAGTTCGGCCTCATAGAATTGTTTGTGCTAGTTTAAACATGATAACGTGGCTTAAACATTTGAAGGTAACGATGGCCTTTACGGTGCAGTGGCTTGATATAATGTCGTGTTATGTGTTGTGGTCTAGTGGATGAGGCGCCACACTCAACCAGGTGGTAGCAAGTGGGGGTTCGAATCCCTTTTGCAGCACTAACGTCCTTTGGCAAGACATTAATCTAGATTTGCCACACTCGACCCGGTTGTAGTAAGTGGGTTCCTGGTCATCTCAGAATGATCTATTACATGTACTTGAATGCACGGAGCACTACGGTTGCTGGTGCTTAAAGCCTGGGTAAAACTTTCCAAGGTCCTTTGAAAAATATCGCAATGTGATATAAGCTATACAAAAATGGAATATTATTATTATTAAAAATGATCGACATGGCATGATGGTAACTTAAGGCGCCATGCATCGGCAGCGTCATTTAGTTTCGAAACTTATTGTTAGTTCAACATGAGTGAATATTATCCACAAAATGAATACAGATTAATGATTAGGAACACCTGCATTTTGAAAGAAATTTGATACTCAATATAATATAATCAGATAATCAATTAAATATTTCTTTAAGCAAATCAATGAAAAAACAACTGCTTTATCACTAACAATCTGACAAGCCATATTTTCTTGCACACAACGATTTAAAACACATACAACAGAACAATGAATATATTATTTTACAGTAGCTGTGATATATACTCCTGCTTTTGTTTTATATAAGGCATATTCCACCTCTTGTATACTTCATCTAATAGCACTGCAACAGTTAGTTGACCTACATGTACATTATAATATAATATGTGGCTGTTATTAATTTTCCCTTCAAATATTCATAAAGTTATTTTCTAATAAGTTTCATCTTCACTTTATAGGCCCACTGCACTACTGGTAGCTACTTGCGCCCTCTATATAACAAACAATGCCTAATCGGTGACCATTGGTCCCCCATGATCCTCTTTTTCTTATGTTAACTGAGAGCTGAGTTGATGAGATAACCACCTGTCCAGTGACCTTGCAGAGAGGTCTAATCCCTCCTGTAAACTACGGCAGATAAGCTTTAAATCATGCCGGAAGAATGGGTATTTCTTTAGTTTGATGTGAATACCACTGAAATGTCTAATCTGTCTTCGGGTTCATTTAATAGCCATTGCATCGTTCAGCTCTGCAATGACTGCTCCAAGTTGATCAAGATCATTTTGATTCAGACGACTGGCATCTATCCCACCGTTGAGGGCTTCTTTAGATGTCAACAGGATAAAGCCTGTCCATCTTCCGGTTTCCTAAATAGGTAAATGATAATAAAAAAAATCAATAAAAACTACAGATATGAGAATTAAATCATCAATAATGACAAATCAACATTAGAGATGTTTAACATGCGCCCTGTTTGTCTTGTTGAATACATTTTAGTTGCTGTAGAATTAACTACTCGAGAGTGTAGTTGTATGTGTGCGTGTGTGTGTGTGTGGGGGGGGGGGGGTGGTGTGTGCGTGTGTGGGTGATTTGGCATGATGATTTGAAGACGCTTTTCTTTCTTTCCTAGCCAAAGGAGGTCATCTATCAAATATTTTCCCGGAGAGAAGTAATTGTACAACCTTTGTCCCCGAAATCAAGTTAAGCTCGCTTGAATGATTATTTGGAAACTTTAAAAATGATAACATAATTAAAGTTTTGCAGGTCGAACACAAGACACTGCATGTTTAAATGTTTTTACCACTGAAATCGAATAAAATTAAAGACTAATTGTATCAAACTTTAATCACACAATATTTTGATTTTCTGTGGAACGCGTACTGATATACTGACCTTTTTCACGATGGCAATATGATCAGCATCTATTGAACCATGGGCCATTGCACATGCGTGGATTATGTCGAGTGCACCGTACAATTGTTTGCTTATCGCTTGTACATCTTCGACTTTCAGGTGAAGCTTCTTGGCTCTGATAAGACTGAGTGCATCAGACAGAATGAAACGATCAGGCTTCATTGTGTTCATCTCCAAAGATTTTGTGAAGTCTGGGAAGTTTTAAAAAAAAATTCACATCACAGAAAGTTAAAATATCCGAATGGATTTCTTCAAGTCCATCTGTGTATCACAGAATATCAGTATTTTTCTGTTGTTTCATCATAGCTGAAAAAATAGAATCGGGCAAGAGAAGAAAAGCAGATAAAAAACAAACTTCTAATGCTAACCTCTTTCTGCAGACAAGGTTCCTTCCACTTGTTTTGAGGTTCCGTATTTGTTACGTGTACCTGGATCCACGTAGCGATTGCCACTGTTGCTGTTAAAGACACGGCTTGAATCCGTGCAAAACAACGCCAGTCTGGTCCTGATGTCTATTGTTGAGATGGTATAGAGATATGGGTTGATGGACGAGTTTATTGGGAAAATGAAGACAGCAATCCAAGCGTAGACTGTCGATGGTATGGTGGCAGAGTTAGAGAGAGAAACGAAGGCTAGTATGACGATAGGTAACCAGCAACAGATATCTGTAGCAACGATGACTGCAGTTCGGACCGCCAACTTTATCTGTAAAGCACAGTGATATTGGACATAATTAACGGGATTTCAAGGCATATTAAACCTAGCGGATACCAGAATTTTCATAAATCATATTGCATCGATATCGTAGATTCATAGATTCACCTTCAAATTAAGATGTTTTTAGCTGGTGGAAATCAAATTTAATAAACAAAATCGTTACTATACTAATCAGAAATAATCAAAATTTCTACTGAATCATTCTGTTCTCAGCTAAAATCCTAAAATACAATCTGCATAGATGCATACCTCTGCCTCCATGGTCTTGTTC